AAGCACACCTATATCAGAACTTCGGCTCAGCACAATGAGTTCGTTGTAGAAATTGTCTTTATGTGCGTCAGAACTGCAGTTGGTCGGTGCATATGCTGAGATGATGAAGACACCTTTTGATTTCGCTTTCCTTCCGGATACTAATTAATCACCGGAGCCGCATCGCACATAAGCGACCGTTGAAGAAGACCTAATCAGTTTTTTATTACTCCTTTTGTGCGATGAGCAGCAGACGGAGTTTCAGGGGAAGTCTAACCTTCCCTTGAGAATTCTCGCGGTTTGCATTTGAAATGGATTTGGATCAGCCGCCACCGTGAAAACGTGTCGGCTTTTTTCTCGAGGGTCCTAGATACGTAGTCGTGAGGGTAACGAACAGAGAACGGCAACCTGGTCTGTGCAATCTCTCTGTCGGCGCCGTCGTAACCCCGATTCCGAACTAGTGACTAGGCTGTGATCAACCTCATATATACCGCAGGTTTCTCCCTTTTTCAATCCGTGTTTCGCTGGCACTACCAACAAAGACTTAAACTGTTTGCAGCTACCTTTGAACTGGGATTAAAGTCAAAGTTTTACTATGGAAAATACAAACGATTGCTTTTCTTGTCCCATAGGGATTAACACGAATGGATCGATTACTGCTCACATAAAGATGTGCGATGTCACAAATTGTCTTTGTTTCGTGCATTGCTACGGGTGTTGAGATTTAAGACTTGTCATCCAGTTTGTGCTTGAAAGAATCAATTGTGGGAGCAGAAACAACGTGGAGTGGCAGAGAATTCCAATTAGTACATACTCTGAGGGCAAATGAATGACACTGGCATTCTAGTCGATATTTTTGGAGCAATAATTTGAATGAGTGCCCCCCGAGGTGAGTGTTAGGCGACAAGGCGAACAGGGAACGACATAGGTGATCAGGGTTCTGTATTATTTAATACACCAAGATGATGTCCCCTAGAATGCGGCGATACTGTGTGAAGTACAGCCCCAATGATTCCAGTCTTTCCACAGAAGCCTTGAAATGCAGTCACTTGACCATTTTGGTGTCCATTCTTTGTGGACGTTCCAGAATCATACGATCGAGTTGCAATCATGGATTCTATGCTCGAGTGGAGTCCTCTATGTCGGGTTGGATGTAGGCTCATAACAGCCGTGGGAACATCGTAGGTTCCAATTTGCCCTATATTCTCCATAGCAAACCAACATGTCTTACAGTGGTGGACGATGCCCTGGAGCACTCTGTATATTTTTATTATATTTTCGCACACGTCTGAAGCCAGACTGTGTACCAAACAAATCATGGTATAATAATCTTTATAAAAAAGAAAGACGCTCCATGATTTGCATGTGGGCGGAATACTGCCAGGTTGCCCAGGCCTAGGCAGGTGAAATCTCTTGAGGAATCCGCAACCGAAGCCTTTGACCAGCCAAAACCTCACCCTCAAGGCCATGGGGCGGTGTGCAAAAACCGCAGACCACTGAGGGCCGGTGTCCAATTCATCGGATCATTCACCCTTTGGACGGGGTCACACGTCCAAAGTGCTCGATACACCTTAATGCCCAATTCAGTCGATTATCACTGGCATCGGGAGGTTTCTTATTACACATCTAAGTGTGTTGAACAGCAGACGGGAAAAGCCCCATACTCACGNATACTCACGAGGACCTGCTGTTCAGTGGTTGAAATCGGCAACCTAAGCCCTGGGACTTGGAGTGGCGAACAACATAAGGTCCCGATAGACTAGGCGTGGTATTGAACCGGACGACAGCAGAGCTACCTACCACTAAAGTCGGGTGGCGGCGGCGGGGCTCAAACCTCGGACCACAGGGTCCAATGCACGCCTGTGACAGCGACTAAACCACTTCGCCACCACCAGCTTGGGATTTGATTTAAACGTGCGCATCTTGATACATTAACCTGTCTTCTCGCGCTAACTTAGTGCAGTGGTTTCGAAGTAGGCAGTAAGTATATCATGTGTTGTTGCAGGGAAATCGTTTATAAGCTCTCTATGAGATATTCTTCTGCGAAATCCACTTTGTTCGACTTCGAACCACTGATTTTCGACCAGTTGAGTAGGTAATGTGTTTAGTCTTGGTCACGCCCTTCACCATTTCCGTCAGGTGATTCGTAAATTTTTCCCGGGATACCAAAGGATCTTACCGTTCATAGGGGGTATTCCCATTGGGATACTGTCTCCAAATTCTTGGGATAGGCATTGTGGGACTAGATTTGGCTAGCCACAACACAGGCCGAACCCCACAGCAGTGAGCACCTACCGTTCAGTGATGGAACCGGCAACCGAAACCCCAAGGACTTCGATCGGTTAATTCCATAAAGCTCTGATGAGAAACGTAACTTTGATCTGAGCGACAGTGAAGTTACGAATTTAGAGTTGAACCTGTCGGGTGTAGTTGGGCTAGTATACCAAAACCCGAGAGATCTGATTCAGTGAGATACCTACAGGACTCGACCAATAGCATATCCTGTCTCCCTTCTTTGCCATCGGGCCAAATTAACTGACTGACTGACTATTTCTGAGAACGGCCTCTGAATAAACATGCATTGAAATATCTTTTTGGCTCCCACTTGCGCTCGTTTACACAGTAGCAACACACACTTAATGGTTCCGTAATGCAAATAATTGATGGATTGGCCAATATACACTGGTAAGCTCCAACAAGTTCGAAACCCGAGTCCAGCTATTCATTTATGGTTGTGCTTAAAGATGAAGTCTGAAAGATCGCCAGTCCAGACCAACTATCTGTACTCATCCGTGATCATCACATTTTGACCACAGGTCGATTGTATTCTACTAAAATTCAGCTAGTCATACTTCTTTGCCTGGGCACATGACCTAAGCACACAGTGTACACAAGAAGAACTGTGGTTGCTGGACTTCGCGCAGCAGATTTTCATTTAGGTGATAAGGCGTGAAGCCGATATCGTACACAGTTTTAATCATTCAGATCAAACGAGCATTCGAAGTCCAATAAGTGCGACTATTGTTACAACGGCCTAGTGCATGTTATCTGCAGCACGTTGCCCTGGGTGGCTATATTTATATAACACCTTGTAGTAAACTGTACAACAGAAATTGTGTCTGCGAGCCAGGTCGGTCTGTAACTCAACCTTTAATTAGAAGACATCGGTCCCAGCGTCTGTCCGCAATTTAACCTATGTTTTATTCACGTTTTTACTTTACTCCTAATAACAGGGCTAGCCTTTTACTTCTTCAGATTGAAGTTGTCATTTGTAAGCTATACCCGTGACTGTTAAAATAGTGATTATTGAACAAAATGAATCCCTTCAAATTCTACATGTTATGCACAGTTATTTCATAGTGTCAGACAATGTACAACAAAAAAGTGATTAGCTAATCATTCTTATTTAATTTCACACCCGTATCTGTCGTCCATTTATTGTTAACCAACTGATTCGGCAGCCAGAGCACATCATCACAGCCGCCAGGAGGTTGTCGGTGTTTGAACACCGCTGTCTACGCAGCATTACACGAATCTGGTGGGGTAGCTGGATGAGCAATGCTGAGGTGAGGCGCAGTTTTGGGTA